CTCCTGCCTCAGCCTCCCGAGTAGCTGGGACCACAGGCGCCCGCCACAACACCCAGCTATTTTTTAGTTGCAGCCGTCATTTGTTGTTTGGCGGGTCCAGGCTGGATTTGAACTCACCACCTTGGGTGTACATGGCTGGCGCCTTAGCCACTTGAGCCACAGGTGCCGAGCCTAAGTTAGTCTCTTGATGAAGTCCAGTGTTATTCACATTGCACTGCCTCATTTATGGGGATGAGGGCCAGGAATCATGAGTGAGCTCCCTGGACTCAAAATTCTCAGTATCAACTTCTCCGTTTATGAACTAAGTAGGAAGCGAATGTATATTAAACCTCTAAAGCCAGACAGAATCACATAGTGAATGTTATGGAATATGACATTTATTCTCCCATCATTTTTTGTTGTTGTTTTGAGACAGGCTCTCTCCCTGTAGCTCAGTACCTAAGTTGGAGTGCAATGGCTTAATCATAGCTCACTGCAGCCTCTAAATTTGTGGGCTCAAGCGATCCTCCCGTCTCAGCCTCCTGAGTAGCTAGGACTACAGGTGCTCACCCCTACACTCAGCTAATTAAAAAAATTTTTTTGTGTGGAGACGAGGTTTGGCTGTGTTTCCCAGGCTGGTCTTGAACTCTGAGGTCAAGCAATTCTTCTACCTCGGCCTCCCAGAGTGCTGGGATTACAGGTGTGAACCAAACACGCCCGGTCTCGTGATCAGTTTTTAAAAGTAGGCTACATTACTTCTTGTGACTAATTATAGGAACTAGATTCAGAAACTCTGAGTGACTTGCCCGCCATCCCCCAGCCACAGTATAATAAAAGTTACTGTATGAGGCTGACAAAGAGTAAACGAAACCCCAATTCAGTAAAGGACAGCGAAATCCCAAAAGATTGCCTTTAAAGTTTAAGGGTCTGAATCGAAGGGCGTGGGGCCCACTTCTTCGACCCCCACCCACTTCTCGCTCTCCTCGGGAGAAAAAGGCCTGCCTCCCCGCTGTCCTGCTACCGACTACTGAAGGGAAAAAGAAGGCACGCGCCTCAGACCCACCGAATTGCCTCTGAACTTACCCCTCCGTGGGGAGCGACTGCGACTGCGACCCATTTAGAGTCCCGCTACTGGCTCCACCACCCGGGAAACGACTGTGCAACAACTTCCGGGAGTCTCGGGCACTAAGCTTTTATTACCGACTGGAAAGTGTTGAAACCCGTCGCAAGAGTTCCGGCCCTTAAAGAAGCTGAGGCTGTGTCTCGGCGCCTCCTGCTCCCAGCCACATACATCGGAGCTGTCGGGTTCTAACTCAGCCCGGGCCTGCCAAACAACAATGACAACTACAACCAAAAAATAGCCGGGCGTTGTGGTGGGCACCTGTAGTCCCAGCTACTGAGGCAAGAGAATCGCTTAAGCCCAGGAGTTGAAGATTACTATGCGCTGTGACGCCACGGCACTCTACCAAGGCGACACAGTGAGACTCTGTTCCCCCCCTCCCCCAAAGAATTGGCCCGCCCGGATGCCACTTCTGAGCATCTTGCGTCTGGAGGGAACTGAGGTAGGAGAAGAACTGGCATGTCGGTGCCTCCAGCCCCGCTTTTGCAGTGGCTTTCCCGCCTTCCTTGTCCACAGTGGGTGTTTATATTCGATTTGTTATTATAGAAATGTCTGAAAATTTCAGTCGTATACCCACCACCCTAACACAGTTTTCATATTCTTCTCTATTTTTTTTCCATTCTTTGTCCATTCCATATAATATACTTACATCAAACCAACTCTAATATACTATGCACAGCGTATAACATTCTCTTCATCAAGAGTGAATGTACCCGCCCGGCGTGGTGGCTCTCGCCTGTAATCCTAACAACCTGGGAGGTGGAGGCGGGTGGATCGCTGAGCTCAGACGTTAGAGATCAGCCTGAGCAAGAGTGACCCCCGCCATCTCTACTAAAAATAGAAAAACTAGCTCGGTATGTGTTGGCACCTGTAGTCCCAGCTACTGGGGAGGCTGAGACAAGTGGATTGTCTGAGCCCAGGAGTCTGAGGTTGCTGTGAGTTGGGGCACTACTGCACTCTACCCAGGGCACAAAAAAGAAAAAAAACCAGATTATACCCATATAACCCTAACCCTTCACTAACCTTTCTGCTTTGTATATTCTCAGATGACAGTATTGAAAAACTCCTGAAACTTCCTATGGACACTTGGAAGGAAAAGTAAGGGCCCCATATTCCATCCTAACCCACAAAGTACCTCCCAGATACCGCCTATACCCTCAGGAAAGATAGATAGGGAAAAAAAATTGCACATTAAAAGAAAATCAATCTTTTTTTATTGTTTGGAATCAATTGAGTTTTTTGAGACAGAGTCGCACTCTGTCACCCTGGGTAGAGTGCTATGGCATCCTTGTTCACAGCAACCTCAAACTCTTGGGTTTCAAGTGATCCTCTTGCCTCAGCCTCCCCAGTAGCTGGGACTACAGGTGCCTGACACAATGCCCCAGGCTGGTTTTTCTGTTTTTAGTAGAGAGAGGGTCCTCACTCTTGCTCAGGCAGGTCTCCAACTCCCAGATTGCTAGGATTACCGATGTGAGCTATAAGCCCAGCTGAACCTCTATTTCTTTTTTTTTTTGAGACAGAGCCTCAAGCTGTCCCCCTGGGCAGAGTGCCGTGGCATTACAGCTCACAGCAACCTCCAACTCCTGGGCTCAAGCG